CTAGCCTGGAACTTGCTATAGAGACCCAAATGACCTGGAACTTACTATGTAGATCAAGCTAGCCTTAAACTTGCCGTGATCCTTTTGCATCTCCCTCCAAAGTATTGGGATTTCAGGTGTACGCCACCACGTCTGGCTTCCCCTGGAAAATTAAAAGGGAACAGCATTCAAGTTCCGTGTAGTTCTGCCCTGCTTCCTCTTCAGTCCCCACCGCTGCACTTGACTCTGAGAGAGATGGCGCCTTAGATGATTTTGTCATTGAGTGAACAACATGGAACACCATGACCACAGCTGGGTTGTCTGTCACTGTGTGACTCCTTGATGCAGTCAGACACAGTCAACCCGGGATCCACTAGACAATTGCTGCTGTTGATAGCAAGTGTCTCTTTAACAAGGAGTGCATTATAAAGCCACAAGAGGAATATTGTAGGAAACAGATGACCACTAAGAGTTGTTTCTCCTCATCAGGTGTCAGGGACATAGCTGTGTGCGCTGTGGTTTTATACTCCTGGTAAAGCTATAAGCTTGGCTGTGCCTCTGTCACTACAAACACGTGACTAACGCATTGCATAATGATGTGTAGGAACTGTGGTGTGACTGCACGTGGGAATTTTTTAGTTCTGTTATCGTCTATGGGGTGATGGTCATGTGTTCAGTCTGTCATTAGTTGAAACATTGCTGTGTGGCACGCAACTGCTTATTTGTGCATATCCACAAGCATATCCACCAGTCGTATGCATTGCATACACATAGTGTGTCTGCACATATGTGTATGTTTATATGTCTGTATGTATGCATTCATTGTGTGTATGTGTGTGTGTGTGTGTGTGTGTGTGTGTGTGTGTGTGTGTGTGTGGTGTATATGTGTATGCCTGTGAGTGTGCACAAGAGTCCAGAAGAAATATCCTGCTTCATCAGTTTCCATTTGATTTCTGGAGACAAGGTCTCTCACTAAACCTAGAGCTAGGCTGGTGTCCACAACCCACAACACTGCTGGAGTTCAAGGTGCATGTTCATCTGTACTGGCTTTTTCCTTGGGGGCTGGGGATTGGAACTCAGGTCCCCATGCTTGTGCAGAAAGTGCTCATGTCCCCAACCCCTTTTATTTGAATACAGATACAGAGTCGCACCTCTGTGGGTCCTGATATGTCTCTATGTGGTTGCGTTTCCTCACTTCTGTTGTTTGAAATGCTCAAATGTTTTGTAGGAGGTGGGCATTACAAACAGACGTAGGGGTAAGGGAGGCTATTTCAGAACCCAGTCATTAGGGAAGATGTTCCAAAGGGCAAATGGATAAAACTGCGGAGCTGAAGTGACTGGATGTCTGTCATCTCACAGAAAACATGGTGTGCATTTGTCCCCAGTGGAGCAGTGACCTGAATGCCTCTGGAGTCTTGTGGTCCACCTGTGTTCTGCCCCGGTCTCTTTCTGAGGCCTCAGAAGGGGAGTGTTCCTGGGAAGCCTCCGATCTACCCTCTGCCCATCTAAACCAAGAATGGACATTAATTTAAGATTCATCCAAGCTTTTTGCCTCAGAAAACACATGCTTAAGGCCAAAGTCATTTCCCCCAAGAGTGTCTTCTGTTCCCTCCAAAGTTCCTGTATCTGTCCATAGGACAGCTGTTTTGATCAGAGCTAGAAAATTTGTAGTCTTCCCACCCCCTTTTCTATATCCGTGTGTGTGTGTGTGTGTGTGTGTGTGTGTGTGTGTGTGTGTGAGAGAGAGAGAGAGAGAGACAGAGAGAGAGAGAGACAGAGAGAGAGACAGAGAGAGACAGAGAGAGACAGAGAGACAGAGAGACAGAGACAGAGAGACAGAGAGAGATAGGGGAGGGAGAGGAGAGATACGTTTATATATGCATGTTTGCACATGTATGGCATGTATTTGTGTGTGTGGTGTGCATGTTTGCATCTGTGTGTGTGTGTGTGTGTGTGTGTGTGTGTGCATGCGTGCATGTGTGTGATATGCATGCTTGTATCTGTGTATGTGTTATGTATGTGTGTGTTTGTGTGTGTGTGATTTGCATGCTTGTATCTGGGTGGTGTGTGTGTGTGTGTGTGATTTGCATGCTTGTATCTGGGTGGTGTGTGTGTGTGTGTGTGTGTGTGTGATGTGCGTGCTTGTACCTGTGTGTGTTTGTGTGTCTGTGTGTGTGCATGTAGAGGCCTGAGGTTGATATTAAGACTCATCTTCCATTACTCTTTTGCTTTATTAATTGAAGCAGGGTCTCTCAGTCCCACGCAGGGGACACCAATATGAATGGCCTTGCCAGCCAGCTTGCTCTAGGGATCTCCTGTCTCCCTTTTTCTAGGCTGTAATTACAGGTGGGCCACAGTGTCCGCCAGGCATTTCTGTAGGCTCTTGGGATCATAGTTCTGATTTTTGTATCTGGACAGCAAACTCTTTAACCACTGAGCCATTTCCCCATCCCTGTGGACTCTCTTTCACTAATCCTTGTATGTCCCTGTGAGAGACTCACCAAGAAATCTGGTTTTTTTTCCCTTTGAGCATGCCACTCTATCCATCCTTCCTGCCTTCAAAGTTAAATGCATTATAATAAAATAAAATTAGATGCTTAGTTTTTCAGTCACAACAGCTGCTTTTCAAGTGCTCAGTGGCCTTCAGCCACTAGCGCCACCATACCGGAAGCTGTAGTCACAGGGCATGTCTGCCACTCTGAATAAGGTCAGCAGCGTGGGCCAGATGCAACCTGGTCACTCCATTGGTATAATCTTTAGCTGAGTGTCTGGCTTTCTGGGCCAATTTCCTCATAGTTCCTACCTAATCTTGAGATGTGGGGGGCCTTAAATGAGTGAATTCTGGTAAATCCCTTAGCATAGTATTTGGAACAGCATTACCAATCAGTCGTGACCATTCCCATCTGCAGGGAAACCTGTTGCTGGCTACTGGTGCATGCCTATGACCTGGCTGTGGTTCTATATTGCATTATTTTTGGTAACAGGAGTCTTAGCACCTCTGCTAAGGATGCTCTTTGACTTCCCAGAGAGCACTTATTGTGCCCATCATTTTGTTACCCTCTAAATTCCTTTGAAAAGCTAGAAGTCTCTTGTATGAATAAGAGGGGCTTATGTGGGTGCTAAGAAGGGACTGTGAGGTTAGGGTTGAACCCTTGTGACCTCTAGGCTGAACCCCTACCCTTGGTCTACAGAGGGACCAAGGAAGTTCTCTTCTCCCTTCCATCTGGAGCAGCAAGCTGAGACTCTGCAATGAGGTTGAATTAGCCTAGCATTCCTCTCTGGTGACCTAATGAGCCGGCATAACTAAATGACCATTAGACAGAAAGTTTGTGTGAACTGCAGTAGAAAAGTTCCTTGGAACTTCCTGAAAAGGGAGATAATATATCTAAATAGCTTCCTGTCTTTCTGCTGCCAAGCAGCAGCAGACCAGATTCTCCTACCAGGGAATTATTTAGCATGTGATGATCTCGACCCTCCCTGCTTGGGGGAGTGAGTGGGACTTTGCAGGGGAAGTGAGTGGGCCATGAGGCTCTCCAGATGCCAGGGGAGTGTGGAGACAACTGTTCCAGCCATCTTGCTGAGCGGGGAGATTAGGAAGGCCCAGGGAAGGGGCAGTGAGGGAGGGTCTTGGGGGGCATGGGACAGAGAGGGCAGCTTTTAGTCTGTGTCACAGAGCCTGGGGCAATCTTTTGCTCTGATTCTTAGAAACCCCAGTTTCGTGTCTTAGCGGGAGAGGGAAGAACAGATTGCTTCCTGCCTGCGGGATTGCTCCTTGCAAGCCCCTGTCTCTTTGGAAGACCTTTCCCTGGCTATTAAAAACACGTTTGGGGGCTTTGCTTTATATGGAAACTGCAATTTAACATAAGCAAACCGCAAAATGGAAACCAGAAAGGCCCTGTTCCATTCACTGAGGGCCCCTCCTGGACTACGGGTGAGGCAAGCCCTTTTCAGGTCACATGGTGTGTTCCCCACCCAAACCTTTCTTCCCAGAGGTGTGGGCGGTGGGATGAGGGAGGTGGGGAGGGCTAGGGCCAGGAGGAAGCACAAGGTGTCCCTGTTAGGTGACCTCTAACAGATGAGGCCAGCTCTTAGGGCGCTGGAAATGTCTCAGGTGTGAATGTGCGGTCTCACTCTCTCTCTCTCTCTCTCTCTCTCTCTCTCTCTCTCTTTCAAGCATTCTTCCTCCTCTTTATACTAGTCCCATTGCCACTGTTCTGGGGATGCAGGCCAGAGATATTCTCTCTCTCTCTCTCTCTCTCTCTCTTTCCTCTCTCTCTCTCCCCTCTGTCTTGTTTTTCTATTGCATTTTATTAATTATTTGAAAAATCTTTTTATACAACCTATTTTGATTGTTTTCTTTCCTTCCCCCAAACCCACCCAGATCCTTTCCACCTCCTTACTCACCCAACTTCATGTTTTCTTTCTCCTCAAAAATCACCCCCAAAACTAAGGAGAGGGTCATGTCAGGCTCTGTTTGCTCTCCTGCATTGGAAGGAGTCACCAGGGGACCTGGCATTCGTTACTGAAGCCTTCATGCGGCCCTGAAGTACGGCTCTCTAACCTGATAAAAGGGGAGACTGAGGCTCAAGTAAAGCAACGCCCAAAGTTACAGAAAGCAGAGGGAGTCACCTTCACACCAAGGCCAGTGTGCTCCCTGAGCTGTTCCATCCTCTGTCCCTCACAAAAGTCACTGAGATACCTTATTGCTGTACTCTTGGAGGGGTGTTGGTAGGATCTGTGAGTCCCCAAGCCACACTCTCTTCGTGGCTATTATTTCCATTAACGACAATGAAACAGTGTGCCCTGCTGAGTGTCAGGAGCTACATGGGAAGTGCCTAATGGCTACCTGGGCTAGTGGCTACCACACTGGGCATTACGGGGGGAGGGGGTGGGGTGGGGGGGATGGGGAGGTGGGGGGGTGGGGGGCGAGCACATTTACTTTGCCAGAGAGAGTTGCAGGGGGCAGAGCCAGCACTGGCCTACCACGCCATGCCAGGGAGCTGCAAGCTCCTTCTTTTCCTGGCTCTGACAAGTTTTTAGATAGAGCGGGAGAAGGGGAAGAAAGCTCAGCTCTTCTCTACCCCAAGGCTGTCTCTTCCTGTGGGAATGTGTCCCCGCCTCTCAGTGTGGTGGAGGCAAGCGGCAGAAGGGGCAAAATGGGCCGAGGTGGGGACCTAGTGTTTTCCCCGATATTACCAAGCAACGGAGTCCTAAAATCTTCGGGGCTAGCCACAGAACGCTGTTTACCAGGAAGAAAACACTTGAAAAGGAGAATATTTGGCGGAAATGCGCCCGGGATTAACAGGTTTCACCCACCTCCCTTTTTTTTTTTCTTCCTTTAATGCTGTTTTGTTTTTCTTCTGGGTTGTTCGAGGTACTGACCCAGCATTCGCCCCCTTCGCCAAGAAACTCTTTCCCTGCCTAATTAGCCTGTGGTATTGTTCCAGGGTTCTGGGAAGGGAGGGGAGGGGGAGGGGAAGGCAGAGGCCGGTCTGGGCCTGGCCAATGGGGAGCCTCAATTAGTTAGCGGGGGTTGTGGGGAGCCAGGGCTGGTCATTAGATGCAGAGGTCTTGAAAAATCCCTCTGTAATTAATTTTCTCCTGCATTAATTAGAGCACTGCCAGCATGGGGAGCCGGGGGGATTTGTTGCCCTGGACTGCTTTTCAGGGCGACTTAAGGGAAAGATAGAAAATCGCCTGGAGAGCGGGCTGAGGACAGGGTTGGGTTGTGGGGGGAGTGTGGTCTTAGCTGCAGAACCAGGAGGATTCAGGGAGGCCCATGTTTGATCTTAACTTGGACTGGGTGATGGTACATGGATCATAAGAAACCCAGAGTATGTACGTGTGTGCCTATGTGCGTGTGTGCTTACATATGTGTTCTTAGGCACACACTACACGCAGCACAAGGATCTCTGCTTCTCATACATTTGGACACTCCCCACAAAAGCTACAGTCCTCCTCTTTAGAAAAAAATATGGTGTGTGTGTGTGTGTACCTGAGTATGTGTGTACCTGTGTGTATCTCTGTGTGTGTGTGTGTGTGTGTGTGTGGACCTGTGTGGACCTGTGTGTTTTTATGTGTATACCTGTGTGCCTGTGTGGACCTCTGTGTGTGTATACCTGTGTATGTGTGTACCTGTGTGTATCTATGTGTGTGTGTGTGTGTGTGTGTGTGTGTATAACTGTGTGTATCTATGTGTGTGTGCGTGTGTACGTGTGTGTGTGTGTGTGTGTGTGTGTGTGTGTGTGTGTGTGTGTGTGTATGTGTGTTAATACATACACAGGGGTTAATCTCAGGTGTCTTCTCCAGTTGTCCACTCTGTTTTATGAGGCAGGGTCTCTGATTGGTCTAGGACTGGCTGATTAGGATAAATTGAATGGCCAGTGAGCCTCAGGGATCTGACTCTCCAGTGTTGGATTTACATGTGGGCTTATCACCAGGCTGGGGGTTCCTGTGTTCTGAGACTGAACTCAGGTCCTGGGCAAGCACGTTCCCAGCTGAGCCATCTCCCTGGCTCTGTCTCCCTCTCTCTTCACCCATCTTACAAATTCAGCCACCGTTACTGTAGATTAGAGCACTGCTTGTTCACATCTCATCAAACACCTCCATTCCCCCTGAACAGAGACATGGGTATTTCTCTGTGCCTTTTCTGTATTATGGAGATTGAGTTATGTCTACTCTGTGACATGTGAGCTGCTAACCTTATAGAAGAGGGCCCCAAGAAGATACCTTTTCAAAGAATGTATTTATTCATGTATTTTATGTATTTGAGTGCTCTGTCTTCGTGCACACCGGAAAAGAGAATCAGATCCTATTAAAGATGGTTGTGAGCCACCATGTGGTCAGTGGGAACTGAACTCGGGTCCTCTGGAAGAGCAGCCAGTGCCCTTAACTACAGAGCCATCTTTCTAGCCCCCGAGAAGATTCTAATAAAAGCAACCGCCAAGCCATGAAGCTCCAGTATGTTGATAATGCCATTTGGAGACAGCAAATCAATACACTTCTAGAATTTGCCGCCAATTCCCTGGTCCTGTTAGCCATTTTTACAAAATATTAAAATGAGTCAAATTTCTTCAAGGCTTTTTTTTTGTCTCAGACGGATCTTATTAATTTAATCAGTGACTTAATTGGTCTGTTATGGTAGTTGGTGGGCCTTGTCCCATAGGCAGTAATTGTGTATCTTCAAGCCTGGTCTAACACCTGCAGTGTGTTTGTTGGGTGGATTTCTGTCCAAAGAGGGAGAGTTGGTCTGTCTATGTCTGCTACCACGTCTGAAGCGGTCGGTCAAATTGCTGATTCAGACACAGATTTGGGATCTGGGCTCAAAATGAAGCCCTCTCTTCTCTGACTGTCCACCGGGACAGTTCCAGTAGGAAGACGTGGCACGAGGTGGGTGACTCATGGAGTGGGAGCTGGTGGTCCGAAGGGAGACTGAGAGTGGCCGAGGGTGGCCTGGGGGCCAGCTCCACTCCCTGGGATTTTCTGTCTCTTCTCCATTGGTTTCCTGACTTATTCCTTTGAGATTAGGGGAGAAAAGACGGAAAGATCCCAAAGAGCGCGGATGCACATTCTGTGCAGGAAGCAGCGTCGGGAATGAAGTGACGAGAGAGCTACAGAGCTCCTGGAAGCTCTGGAAGCCATCAGTGCTCTGGAAGGCTCCTGGTGCCCTCTTTTCCCCGGCCCATCCCTAGCACATTCTTCTCAGCAGCTGTTTCCACTCCTCTCCCTGGCTTTGCAGTCCATCCCCACCATTCACAGGAGATGATCTCACCTCCAGCTCTTGGGAGAGGCCCTGGCCACCACTCTAAGCTGACTCCAAGTGTCCCATAAGCCCGTGTCCCTGGGCACAAATGGCTTGAAATCCTCGTTTTGCAATTTGGTATTTGTTCGTAGATAGTTGACTTGTTTTCTCTTAAATTTGATTGCCTTATGTGCATGTAGAGTGGGGGTTATTGTGAGGATTAGTTAACACCGTGCGGAATGGGGAACTTGCATGTAAGGAGGAAGCAATTGTCTAGACTAGTATCAACATCATCATCACCACTACCACCTTTAATTACCATTACTGTCATCACCATTAATACCACCGTCACCATCACCATCACCACCATCGCCATCATCACTACCACTGCTATCACCATTCCCACCACCATCACCATTCCCACCCTCATCCCAACCATCGCCAGCACACCACCCACCATCCACGCCCTCGCTCAGCTCACTGTCTACTCAAATCAAGGTTTGATTGTGTGCTAGCCTTTCTTCTCTTGGCTTTTGTCTTAGGCTAAATGGTGTTCAGACACATTTGAGTCCCACATAACTTTCCAAATGTGGGGCTGGAAAGACGCGTCGGTCAGTAACGTGCCTACTGTGTGGATGTGAGGCCCCGAGTCTGATCTCTGGCATCCACAAAAAAAAGCTGAATGTAGCAATGCATTTCTGAGACTCCATCATTTGGCTGGGGAGAGACAGAGCTAGGCAGATCCCTGGAGCTTGCTGGTCAGCCAGACTAACTGAATTGGTGAGCTCCAGGTTTAGTGAGAGACGCTGTCTCCAAATAAATAAATAAATACATAAATACATAAATAAATAAATATAAAAGTGGAGAGGTACTGAGGAAGGCACTTGATATTGACTTCTGACCTATACATGCACACACGCGCGCGCACACACACACACACACACACACACACACACACACACACACATGCTCATACCATGTGCATACCATACCCCCTTTTAAATGTTTCTTGATTATAACCTCAAATCAGTCTCCCTTCTTTCCTTTTTCCACTCACAGATTTATCCAGTGTCATCTGTGGTTATTGAATCCACTTCCTACCCTCCTACCCATTCCTCAGCCCACCACAATTGCCTGCTGTCCCTACTGTCCTGAGGAGATGGGACTATCAAAAGGTTTTCTAATTGCATCTTCCAGCCTACTCAGTCCTCTGGGAGCATCTGGCTCTGTCGATCCAACCAGCCATCCTCCAACCTTCTTCCCAGGCACCCTGATTCTGCTCCCTCTTGCACAGAACTGAATCTCACTTGCCTGTGTCCTCCAAGCATCATCTCATCTCCTCTCTTCTTGGATGATCTCCCACTCTTCCTCTGCAGTCAGGATCTTACCCAGGAGACCTGCAAGTCCATGCTTCCAATGCTCATCCATGCTCCATTCTGGGTTCTCAGTGCCGGCTTCTCCATAAGATGATGCAGCAGTAGCATTTCCTGACTTGACAATCCATGGCCCTTGGGATAACATGTGATCAGCCATGTCCCTGGCTTCTTAGTGATGGGCTCCCTTTAGTATATTTAGTTCCTGCTACTCTTACACTCTACACTGTCTGTACCTGACTGTCCAGCTGTCCTGTGCACTTCCTAGGAAGCTTTGATTGCTCCTCTCTCCAGCCTGTGCTCTCAATTACTGCTTGTAGTATACTTTGGATTTTGCTTGTTTACCAATGGTCCGTGAGTGAGAGATGTGGTCCTTAGTGTGGTGACTGATGGGATCTTTGAGAGGTAGGATGTAGGGAGGTCTTGAAACCGTTAGGACCATTGGAAGGGAATAATGGTGTCAAGAATGAGTTGTAAGCAAAGCGTGAGCAGTCCCCTGAACCCCTCTCTGACTTCCTGTCTGCTGGTGGGGTGATGCCTTCTTCCCACCATGATGTCGTGCAGACTGCTGCTCTAGAGCCTGTGCCAATCGGGCTTCCTAACCTTGAACTTTGTATCTCCGGAACAGTGAGCGAATTAAACCATGTTTTTTTTTCTTTGTAACTCGGATATCTCAGGGATTTTGTTAGGGCAACAGAAAACTAACTGATATCTGCTGTGGGATGTTCTGTATGACAAATGTGTTGCTCTGATTGGTTAGTAAATAGAACACTGATTGGCCAGTAGTCAGGCAGGAAGAAGTATAGGCAGGACAAGGAGGAGAAGAATTCTGGGAAGTGGAGGGCTGAGTCAGAGACACTGCCAGCCACTGCCATGACAAACAGCATGTGAAGATGCCGGTAAGCCACGAGCCATGTGGCAAGGTATAGATTTATGGAAATGGATTAATCTAAGCTGTAAGAACAGTTAGCAAGAAGCCTGGTACGGCCATACAGTTTGTAACCAATATAAGTCTCTTTGTTTACTTGGTCGGGTCTGAGCGGCTGTGGGACTGGCAGGTGACAGAGATTTGTCCTGACTGTGGGCCAGGCAGGAAAACTCTAGCTACAGAGATCCTCTACCCAGAAGCACTTTCTGCTTCTCTGTTTTTGTCCTTTGTGCTTTAGATCAAACCCTGCCCCTCCCTGAAGCATCCCCATACTCACTGTTAGAGTGAATACCTTCCTCTGCTCGGGTGTGGTGCATTTCAGTTCTTCATGTCTTCCAGCCAGCTGCTTACCTACTGAGCAGCCTCTCCAGCCCCAAGAACCAGTCGTTTCTATCCAAAAGGAAAATGAGTCCGATTAAGCTCAATCTCAAACAGAGAAAAGAAGCCACGGGTGGACAGTTGACTAATGAGTGTGGGTTGGAGGCAGGGGTTGAGTGTAAATGTCTTCCTTCTTGGTTGTGGTATGTGGAAGATTTTATAAGGAGGTGACTCATTGGAGCTTCTAATTTTTTTCAATACAAAATCTCAAGAAAGCTGACTTACTTATCTTTTGGGTCATCTAGGAGTGAGGTCAAGGCAGTTCAGGGGAATAAAAATAAAGAGCCTGAAGAGGACCTTGGAGGGGCCCTTTTCTTGCTACGTTTTAATCGGTAGTTTTCCACTCTTTATCAATTGGTTATAAGGATAAATGACAAAGAAACTGAGGCCCCCGAGTGCCACTGCCACTGTACAGTCTCTTTACTTCTCACCTGGCATGCAATGGCTCTGCACTTCCTTTCTGATCCAGGACAAGTGCGTGGTGTCTAGCATGGATTAGACAGGGAGTTCCTGTTGGAAACCAACCAAAGAAGCTGGGACGGAGAAGAGGTGGGAGTGGGGAGCAGGCCCCGCGCCTGGCAGTGGCTGTGTATGCACCGAGGACTTCAGTCCTAAGGAGAGAAATTTCAAAGGGTCGTGCATGTAAAGGCATACCTTTATCGGCTGCTATCAGTATAGCATGCACCTTCCTTAATCTACCAAAAAAAAAATCTTATTCCTTTTGAGCACCCCTAAGTGTGCAGAAAACAGATCTACTGTCCTCTGAAACACACTAGTAAGGAGACAGATTGGTAGGACAATGTACCCACTTTCTGGAAGCCTCTGTAGCCATGTGGTTGGGAGAAAGAACCTCAACCATGTCACCACCAACACAATTAAGTTTCCATAGCCCTCTCTGTGTCTGGCTTTCTTCCCCCTCTACCTGTAGCAGGAATTCTAATTGGTCTTAATAATAAAAACCTGGAGTCAGATATCAGGGTGAAAGCTGAAAGATCAGAGAAGCAGAGTAGCCAGCCACTAGAGAGACTTTTTACCTCTAGGAATCCTCAAACTGGAAAGGCTGAGCTCCTGTTTCCTCCCATCTTATATTCCTCTCTCTGCCCAGCCATATCACTTCCTGTTTCCTCCTCCCAAGTGCTGCCATTAAAGGCTTTTGCCTCCCAAGTACTGGGATCAAAGGCATGAGATCCCAAGTGCTGGGATTAAAGGTGTGTGCCACCACTGCCTAGCCTCTCTAGTGGCAAGCTCTGCACTCTGATCGCCAAGCAAGCTTTATTTGTTAGAGCACAAACAAAATATCACCACATATACCCACATTTGCACTGAGGGGTAAAGTGGGTGGTGGGTCAAGTTACCAAGATGGAAGATGGAATCATAGACTCCATTTTCAGACTGATGTTTTGATAGTAAGATGGGTACAAAATTCTTCTCTCTATCCTTCCTGCTTCAATGTATTTGAGACTATAGCTATTTGGGTCTTAAATCTTTTCAGCTGGGTGTCGGCAAACTAAAGCTATAGCCTAAAATGGATTAACGATTAATTTTCATTTTTTAAAAGGGGAAATGTGGATACAGCTATGTAGATTAGTGATAGAAAGCTTACTCAGTACATGAAAGGCCCTGAGTTTGACCCCGTGGTGCAACACACACACACACACACACACACACACACACACACACACACACACACTATTTAAAAAAAAAGCCATGCCCATTTGCTGACACGTTGTGTGTGGCTACTTTTGCATTAGAACAGTGGAGCTGAGTAATTGTTACATGGACTGTATGGTTCACAAAGCATCAAATATTCACGATCTGACCTACCCAGGAAAACTTTGCAACCCCTTTTAGTTCCTTGTTTAAACAAAGGGCAATGTGGGTAGGGCAGGGTGGGGAGGGGGTGTCATTTGGCAGAATGCTTATTTAGCATTCATGAGGCCCTGCATTCCATCCCCAGCACCCCATAAACTGGGTGTGATGGCCCATATCTGCAATCCCAGCACTTAGTAAGCAGAGGCAGGAGGATCAGAATTTTAAGGTCATCCTTGGCTACATAGTGAGTTCCAGACCAGTCTGGGATACATGAAACCCTGTTTCACAAACAAGTCAGGTGTGTGTGTGTGTGTGTGTGTGTGTGTGTGTGTGTGTGTGTGTCCATTAACATGAGCTCTTAAACTATAAAGTAGAAAATAAGAAGCCACCCATAACTCTATCATCTTTAATAAAAACAATATTTTGCCATGTTTGCATTTAGCCTTTTCTACACACATGTAAAATTATAAGCAAATATAATTACATAATTAAAATAGTGCTCTATTTGGCTTCACATCTTATTGTGTGTGCTTATGATTTGAATTTTAGGGTGATTACATGCCCTTAGACATATCTTGATAATATGATGCATGCATACATGCGTGCATGTGTGCCTGTGTATTTTACTGAGGATTAAACCCGGGGGTTTCATTCATCCTGGGCAAGCATTCTTCCACTGGGCAATACCCCCAGCACTTATCTGAAACCTTTAGTAACTTTCTAATACAGTCCATGACACCACCCAACTCGCAGGCAGTGCTTAATGACTCATAATTCAAAATACCAGGGGCTATCACAAATATCTCTAAACAGAAATCCTTCTCTGATTCTTGACTGTTTTCCTGAGACAAATTCCCACAAGTCGAGTTACTGGGTTAAGGGGTGAGGACAATTTTCAGGGTCTTGATAGCATATTGCCAGATTGCTTTCCTGAGAGATTGTATCAATTTATGCTCCCACCAGCAATGTACGAAATTGCTGCCTGGCCCTCCTCTTGCCAGCCTTGAAGACTATCATTTTAAAAAGTTACCAAATTGATAGGCAAAAATTGCATTTTGTTGTTTTGATTTGAATTTCTTTGATTACCGGCGAGGCTAAACATTTTTTTTTTCATTTGTTAAACACTTCTTCATATGTTTATGGCCAAAGGGAATCTTAATAATGGTCTTCAAGTGTGCAAAGGGGTTATTTGGTAGATTGAGACCAGCTGTTCTCAAGAAGAAAATGGAAATGTTTAAGTTCAGCAAGAACTCGATCAGCCAAGGGTCCTTGCATGCAGGATGGGCGTTTGAGTGGTCAAACTCCAGTGATGATTCGGGTGCTGCCTGAGACCTCTTTATTCCAGGTGCACGGAGACCCAAGAAAAATAGCTGCAAATTACTCTTTGCTCATGCCTGCTAGAATTGTATGACATCTACATGTGTTAGTATTTAAATGCTTCCACACACCCTATAAGAAACACGGACGTGGACATGTGTTATTATCAATTATCCCACCATAGGCCTGAAGTGCTCATCCTAAGGTCTTAGTTTCGTAAATGCTCTGAGGGATGCAGTCAGTGAACTTTTCCAGTTTAAATGTCTTCCTAAACTCTCCCTGCTCAAGATGAAGGAAGTGCCAACCTTGTCTTCAGCAAGTCAAACCCAGCCCAGCAGCCATCGAGGGCTTTACTGGTTCCCAGGCCTGCCTGCAGCCAGCTTCTCCCCAGCTCAGCTACTCCTGGCTCTTTGGATGTGTGCGGGCCCACTCTGCCTTACTTTCCGGAAGCCTCCAGCCATTGAGCCTCTAACCGCCATGATGCATTGATACATTCCGGTGAATGTGATTATTTTGACCTGTTAATGTGATTTTCCTTCACAGGATTCTTATTTGGAAGCCAATCCTTTTCTTTAGAGCCGTCATCTTCAGGAGAAAACAAGGAATTCAGGCTTGCAAATCAATTTATCTATTGAGCTCAGTGGGGTTTGACGGTGGAGGTTCAGAACAAATGTCTCTTGATGGAGTAAGTTGTGAACAAGTGAATGAGTGAGTATAATGAACAAGTGGATGAATGATACAAGCTCCCTGCAGCTGCCTCTGGGTCCTGCATGCCCTTAGCACGTCCTTCAGCCTTGCCCCTCCTGCATCTCCTCCGCCCGTCTCTCTGTTCTCCCAGACTTCCTTGCCATTGTTTGCCTCCCTTCCCAAGGCCAGCATGTTTGGGCATGCATGGGAAGAGTTGGGGGTTGTAGGGAGCTGCCTCTCATCTCTACTGTAGCTTCAGCACCTAGCTAGGATCAATATGATCCATTCCCTGAATCACCAATAAGGGACCCATTTCTTCTCGTAGACCTATGTAGGAGGTTACCATGCATATACTACTTTCATTACGGAATGGCCTAGAGTTCTGGTCCTCTACCCTTCTTTTGAAGCTATTTTTTTTCACATTTTATTTCTATATGTATTTATTTATATTTTATATTTGTGCATGTTATAATATGCATGGGGAGGTTAGAAGACAACTTTCAGAAGTCAGTCCTCTCTTTCCACTTTGTGGGTTCCAGGGATAAAATTCATGTCATCAGACTGGGCAGCATCTCACTGATCCCTGTGCCCTTCTTTTGAAGAGAGGCATCACCAACAAGCTCACTAACATCAAAGTTCTTCCCTAAAGGTAGGTATGAATTAATTGTAGCCTTCATCCCAGCATCTAAACATAGTTTTGAGCCCTTTGCTTAGAGAAGGGCAAGCAAGTGGCCAACGCAGAGGACAGGTTCCAGAATGTGGTTCTGGCTCTTAGTACTGAGAATTGAACCTAGGGCCTTGTGCATGCTAGACAAGTGCACTACCACTGAGTGACATTCCAGCAAGGTTTGCTTTTGTGGTCAGACTCAAGCTGAGGCTGGGCAGGGATATCCGTGATAACCCAAATACCTTGACCAATGCCTGGCAGAGGATGGATAAGTGGGGTGGGATGGGATAGCAAACTTTGGTAGGAGGAATGAAAATATAAGAAGGAAGACTTGGCCATGAACTGGGGAGTGTCCTCAAAGAGTAGAAGAGATTTTACTGCTTCTTCATGGAATCTAGATGCCAGAGAACTCAGGGGACATTCATGTCAGCTAGGTGTCCCGTTTCTGTTTTTTTCAACCTCATTCCTCAGTTGGGAGCTCCAGGCATGTCCTCAAACTTTTTATCCAGAAACTTCTAATCTCTGGACAGATGTTGGAACCAAGATGGGCCATTGGCAGAGGGATGGGGGAAGGAAACAAACTGTCTCTTTGGTGCATGGTAGTCTAGGCTCCTTCACCTTGGTTCTTCCATGTCTCTAACCTGAGCTGACCTGGTCACCACTCCCTAGTTTGATTTCTGATGCTGTGATAAACAATGACTAAAAGCAGTTTGGAGGGAAGGAGTTTATTTCACTTTTCCATACCACAGGGAAACCAAAGCAGGAACCTGGAGGCAGGAACCTGGAGGCAGGAGCTGAAGCAGAGACCATAGAGGAACACTGTTTACTGGCTTGTTCCAGGCTTGTTTCAGCTGCCTCTTTTGGATGCGCCAAGTCCACTTGCCCAGGGATAGCACTACCTACAGTGAGATGGGCCTTCCTACATCATTCAGTGATCAAGAAAATGCCCCCACAGACTTGCCCATAGGCCAATTTGATGAATTCAGTTCCTCAGTTGAGATCCCAAGTATGTTGACAACCAAGATCAGCTGTCACAACCATACCCTTATCACATTGTGAATGCCCTATTGAATGACTTATAAGGGTGTTCAAGGGAGACACAAAGTATCTACCCTGTGCCTTGCTTTGAAGAGGCCACATTAGTTGGTTCGCTAATGTCAGAGGTCTTCTCTAGTGGTGTAAAGTTGTTCTGGCATCCACCCCAGCATCTAAACCAGATGGCTCTTGGTCAACTCACAATACATGTGGGTATTTGTGCAGTTTTTTATTGTTTAATTTGCTTTCCTTTGCATTATATCCATTTTACTCATCAACCAATCTGCCTATCCACTCACTCAACAAAAGGTTGTGAGGCCATATCAAATTCCAATGACCTGGGGATTAAGGATCGTGAGAAGCTGAGCAAGACACCTGTGCATCATTCCAGACCCCCCTGAACACACCCTCATTTTCCAGGAGGTCCAGTTGGATGTATCTTAGAGCAGAGAATGGGAGCTATACAGATCTGGGTTAAACTCTGCATCTATTGCCTGTTAGGTAAGCTTAAACCATGAAGCTTAGACAGTTTCAAAGGACTTATGAGGTGAACTTTTTAGAAATATCTCCCTCCTGGGTGGTAGAGAGGCTTTGAGAGTGCTTTCAGTATAAAGTTGATGGCTGGTGCCTTCTTTACAGAGATTAAGGTGTGGAAGAGAAAGTGGATTCTTCAGTATCTCAGAGACTGAAGACATCATCAGAACAAAATACAAGCCACACCACCTGATTGTAAGCTCAAAGCTACTTCTGAGAAGTTCTATAGCCCTTGCAACTCTACCAAGGAGCCACGAGTCCACACTCTAATATTGTAAATGGGGGAACTGGGTCTAGAGACATTATAAATACTTCTCAGCCACAATGAAACATGTAGTATGTGAACTTGGGGTTCTTAGCTCCCGGTACTTGAGGTTGACTTAGTGCTCTCATGTAGATCCCTTCTACTGGTTTCCTCCTGTGGACCACAGGGATGATGGGCATTATCTTGAGAAAGTAGGATAAACTTTCTAAAACCTGCCTGTAAATGGGAATGGCAATAGCTCCTACTTTCTAGGGTTTGAAGGTGACTCATAGTTGGGCAATTGAATGCCAGTGCCTTCTATACCTGAGGCACACTCGCATGGAAATGTTAGCTAGCTCTGGAGATGATGGATGGGTGTTTAAAGTAGTCCCACAAAGGCAGCTCTTGTCATCACAACAGCTGCTCCCCTCGAACATGGAGGCATGTTGAAGGATAATCTTTTGTGCACTGTGAAGATGTGTCTTTGCCAAGGAGCCTCCTGATGGGTTTAATAAAGAACTGAATGGTAAATAGCTAGGCAGGAAGAGGTTAGGTGGGACTTCTGGGAGAGAGGGGAACTCAGGGGGATGAATCTAGGCACCTGAGAGATACCAGTGAGACACAGAAGTCGGACATACAGAATGAAAGAGAAGTAAAAAGCCCCGTGGCAGAATGCAGATTAATGTAAGCAGGTTAATTTAAGTTATAAGAGCTGGTTGGGGACAAGCCTAAGCTAAAGGCTGAGCTTTCATAATCAGTAATAAGTCTCTGTGTCATTATTGGGTGAGGGTGATGGTCCCAAAAGAAAGTCCGGCAAGAAAGACCAACTACAGAGGCATTTTAAATACAGCCCTTGCCAGGTTATGGTGGTATGCACTTTTCATTCCAGCACTTGGGAAGCTGAGACAGGAGAACCATGAGACCCAGCCTCAAAAGGACTAAGGAATATAGCTCAGTAGTGGAATGCTTGTTTTTCATGCCCCAGGCCCTGGGTTCCATCCCCAGCACTGGAGAACAGCCAACCAAACCCACAAACAACCCACCTAGACTTTCCACTGTAACCCTCTGGTCGCAGGGAAGTAGAGAGTTTTGCAGGGTTCTTGGCTCTTGCTTCTCTTCTCCCCAAGCCTGTCTTTTGCTCATGAGGCAACTACAAATCAAGATAATGTAACTCAAGTGAGCACTCTTTGTAGGGTATTATTTATGGGCAGGAAATGAGACAGGGACTATTTCCTGTCCCAGGGGGTTCAGGGTCTGCGGTGTATAAATGTAGGACTTGGGGCAGTTCGGAGGGTGGGGAATTGGCATGGTGATATGTTTTTGGGTTAAAGGCATAGCCATGAGGTCCTGAAGTCAGCTGGATACCTCTGGGCTGTTGTGACCAGGTGTGGGAAACATCAGCTTGCCTACATCTGTCTGCAAGCATCCTGCAATCACATCCATCGCTAGGCTTCCTCCCCTGCTGCTCTCCCGCTTGGCATCTGGTTTCCCACAGCATTTCTCTGCTCCGCGTTGTCCCATTGTGGAATTACAGGATGCTCCTTTCCAGAGCAGCAATTAGAGAGATTGCTTCACTGGACCAAAGCTAGGAGATGGAGATTCTCCCAAGAAACTAGGTGTTTATTATGAGCCGGACACCTGACCTACAATGTTCAAGGTTATATCTGATTCAGTCCTGTAAGGTAAAATGTTACAAGCACCTTCATCATTTTTACTGCCAAGGAGACAGAGAATTCAGAGAGAGGATCCTGCCGCTGAGCTTAAATGGAAGCTATGGTAGCCCAGAGACTCTACTCCATAACCCATTTGTCTGTTTCATCCATCCATCCACATAAGCCTGGTCTCTGTGTTGTGCAAAATTGAGAACTTTCCAAGGGGCTGATAGTTGGAATTCATCCACAGGAGATCCAGGGAACATCTTCCTTCATCCTCCCTCTGGGCTGAGTGGCAGGACAAGTGCTGAATATAGTCTATCCATCACTAGTCTCGGTTTGCAGACCTGCCTTCTCTGGCATATGGCTGCCTCTTGCATCTTGTTCCTCTGTCTCTCTTCCTGATTGGCTTCTTTCTTTGTCATCATCATCACCAGGTTGTAGTTCCTGCCTCTGGATACCTGGCTTGACCCTACCGATATTGGGCATGGTTTGGGGAGACACAGTTGAGATGTGGCCTTGGCAGGTGTGATAGGTATGTTCAGTGGTCCCAGAACAATACTGCTTGATGATCATGTTCACAGGACCTCCTTGAGGTTGAGGTCCTGCTTCTGGGAAGAGCTTAGCATCTCTATTTTTCATGTGCTCTCATGGAATGTTGATGGTTCCAGTACCCAGAGCACAACTTGGAACAACTGAGTCCAGCCTATTTCCAGTCTCCATTTTTTCTGAAAAATCTCTGAGGAGAGATATTTTGTAACTATCATGGCACATTTAAAGGCAAACACACTCAAATTTCATCTTCCAGGTATGACCTGTGTGGTTTGGAGCAAGGCTGGATGATGCCTAGGAACTTATTAAAACATCAGATTCTCCAAGACAGCTGTGGTAATTGCACACTTTCAGTCCTAGACTTAAGCATACTGGAGGGAGAGGATTGCTTGAGAGTTCAAGGCTATCCTCATCTGTGTATGGAGTTCAAAGCTAGCCTGAACTTCATGAAACCCCATGCCAAAGAACTAACCCAACCAACTCACCAACTAACCAACCAGACAAACAATCCAACAAACAACCCCAGGGAAGAGAGAGAGAGATTGATTCTCTTCTCTGATGCACTCCAGCCCCACCGGGCCAGCCCTCCTACTATGCTTGAGACCTCCCCTTTGGGTAAATATCTGACAAGGTGGGTTTCAGTTCTGGTTGCACTTGAGAACACTTGGGTGCTCTTTAAACTATACAGACAAGTGCGGGATGCTGAGATGGCTCAGCAGGTCAATATGCTTGATAGGCATTCCTGGCAACAGGAGTTTGATCCCCATGAACCGCAGAAAAGTAGAATAAAGTTGTCTCTTGTCCTCTACACAGAGGATTCAGGTCCTCTGTTCAGATGGAAGCTGCCAGCTTCACAGAGGCCCTTGATTGTGTTGATAGTGACAAGGATAGAGACCGAAGAAGGCAGGAAAACAAGTTCCAGATGGCCGAAGCGCCCCGAAGACCCTACTTCCTCCAGTTAGCCT